GAGGGTTCTCTCCCAACCTGAGAATCCCACTAGAGGCATTTCCTAAGGGAGTGTTGTCTCCCCTTTTTTATTTGCCATTTTCATGCAATACATCTTCAATCTGGAGTCTGACAATATCCGCATCTACATCTACGCTGACGACGTAACTGTCATCATTCATGACTACACCAACTCACGAATACCTTCGTCCTGAACATTACTCGCTGGACCCATCAAACGATGTTTCCATCCAGCGTCAAAAGTGCACCATTATGCCAATCTTCAATCAGAAAAATGTCTCCCAGAACTTTCAACTAAAGGGGCATCCTGTCCCTTGTGTTACCAAGACGACGATTTTGGGCATTTGTATCACCAGCAACCTCACTTGGAATGAACATGTCAATTACATAGCTACTAAAAGCAAAAAACTTTTAAACATCTTTAAAATGTTCTGCTCCAAAAAATGTGGTGGCAGCCCATCTGATCTCATCACCATAGCCAAAAACTCCATAGATAGTCTAGCGCTCTAGTCGATTACATAATAGAGAGGTTGCGGTAGACGTTTTCATCGCGAAAACGTGTACGTCGGACGTTCAGCGCCGCTTTCCTGTAAGCCTGGAAGTTTGACAATGGTGTTTGGAATGTCGAGCATGATTCCACTGACTATCCAAACACCATTGTCAAACTTCTAGGCGTACAGGAAAGCGGCGTTGAACGTCCGACGTAAACGTTTTCGCGATGAAAACGTCGACCGCAACCTCTCTAATTCCCAGTATCACTCATCTGACGAAGCATCAAATCAAAACACTACAAATCATTCAGAACCAATATCTCAAACTTTGTCTAGGCCTCCTCCACTCCTCCAACATCATCACCTTTGGCACTGCAAACAAACTTAACATCACACCATCGCATCATCAAACAATACAGCACATACTCTAAGAAAACTAATATTGGCCCGCTTCTTAGTGAGATATTACGCTTCATCCACTGTGACGAAGGCATCTCTCTCATAAAAATCCCTCTAACCCAAACAGTTCGCTTCTAGGTACGTCATCACAATATTATCCAAGATAGCTGCATCTAGTACAACATCCGCTCCATGGATATCAAGAAACCTCTCATCTGCACGAATGCTCTAGCTTTCCAACAACCCACTCTACCCTCTGAGGCTCTATAGGCCAACTTCAACGAATGGATCAATAACAGAAATATGAAGTGCTTATTGCTACAGATGGCTCCATAAATAATGAGTCTGTCATCCCGGCTTACATCGACATAAGGAATAACACCTCTGCACATTACACCCTCCACCCCAAAACAAGCATCTTCACGGCCGATGACTATTCTATCCAGCTTTTATCCGTTTTCTTTTAAGACTTCACAACTTTCAGAATTCGTTTAATTAACATACAAACTACCTGTATTGTGAATCTTCAAGACAAGAAGATATAGAAAACTAATTAATATTTTTGGGGGTATTGTTCTTGAATGACAACTTAATTAAGATGCAACTAGCTATTAAAATATATATTTATAAATAACAACATTACAGTGATAATTTCTATTCCTTAGGTTCACGGAGACTCTACCTTCTGAGATCTATGATTCAAAATTGACTTTTTAATTTCATTTTTTATAAAATCTAATAAAATATTAAAATAATTATTTATTTTCATAATTTTCTATATCTTTTTCTATATTTAAATTGTATATATTATATTTATTATTTGACGTCTTATATTTAAAATTATATTTTGAAAGGAAAGTGCAATCTCATTTTCACCTAGCCTACTGTTAAAATTGCTATACATGCGTAAAGAAAAATTACTAGCACGATATAATTAGTTTCACAATAAAAAGATGAAATTACAAAAAAATTAATTGGCTACAATAGTATAGCTTACAAATAATACTTAACATTTTTTAATTGGATTGCATTGATGGAATCCATCCGCCACATGAGCAATCTGCCACAACATCCTTGGATTTCTTTTATGAAAACTGGTTTTTATTTACCTATTAGACACGCAAAGTAAACCCGAAAAACCCTCCACGTAGCCGGCCCATTAGTCGGTTCCAATCCGCGGTTAGTATTCTAGCGTTTTATTCATTCGCCCGTTAATGGGCTCTAACACTTTGTGGTTCGGTTTCATGGGATACGGCAACGGTAGGCCTACACATGAGAGATCTGCCACAGGGGAAGGAAGTATCTCCCAGGAGATATATAGAAAACTAGTCCTTGTTTAGATGTTAGATATACAGTACAAAGAAAATCCGAAAGACTTTCCAATTTGAAACCGTGTCTTCTATTATGTTTATCCGTATTGCACGATGAAGCGCTTTTTTCGATAGACACTACTATATGCCGACACTACGCGTTTCGCGCTCTTGCCCCTCTTCTGTCGGCTTTTTGTTGTTTTTTATCCAACACATTGTATAAAACAAATAAACATATGACATTCCTCTTTACAAATGCATTGAACATCTAAAAAACAGAGTTGACACTGGTATATACATACAAATTTGATAAAAGTTTGTAAAAGAATCGGAATCATTTAGTATTTTTTATGATAAATAGTAAATTGAGAGGATCAACAAATGTCTTTCGTTTATCTTCCGCTAGTGGACGAATTGATAAAATCACTAAACACTGGTAGTTGGTGGCGGATTTGCTCCTCACCATTGGACTATCCACGTGAAGTTTACCAGGATTTCTTTACATGTCTAACATTTAAATACGGACCAGTTTCTTGATATAATTTGGCTAATTGGCTAATTGTAAACCTTGTCACACTTTGTTAATTAAGTGATGAAACGGAGTCAGAGATCAAGTTCAAAAATATACGCTGTATTAATGCTGGAAATATATTTCGGACCCATCAGTCCCTTATAAATTATTAATACTAAAAGTTATTTATCAGTTATAGTAGTATTTTAAAATATAAGCTATTTACTAGACATTTAAACATAAGTTGATAATCTTGCTCTCAACAAGATCGTTAGCCAATTGGATTGGATTATTTGCATATAGCAACGCAACTAATGAGCGATCTGGAGGGGATGCCTCCCGGGAGAACTTTCTGAGGGAAACTGGCCCTATTTAGGTGTTAAAAATGAAGAAAACCCAGTAAATTCTAACGTGGCCAACTCGTTGGCGAGGCGTGAAGCCAGTGTTCTAGTGGTTTTATCCACTCGGCCACTTACGGGCTCGTTAACCAAACATCGTACATTTTACCTATTTAATTTTATATATGTATAATCTATATTTACATAGATACTATAAATTAACCGACAATATTAAACTTCTTACCTTCTGAATAACTCCAATAAACTATAAATACGTAAAATAGAATTAATTGTATGCAATAGTAAGAAAAAGTTTAATAAATTTTGATTTTTCTTTTCTTGAGTTGTTTCTACTTAAGTGGAACAATTCTCACAAATTCAGCTGTTTTATTCTAACAATCTAAAGATAATAGCGTCCTCTGGATCAACGTAGGTACAATGATTCAGGTAGTTTCACAGTATTATTTATTCTATTCTAATATCTTGATATAATTGAATGAGTTTTATATGTTTACACCACTTTCTTTTTCATTATTTTTACTAAATTTTAATTCATTTTACATCTATTATTATTGCAATGAGTTCAAACTGTCGAATTTTTACTATTATATTTTATGGTATTAACATATTTTTTAAATTTACGTTTTGTGTTCCCCATTGATCTTATCAGTTGCCGAACAGATAACCACTAAACTGGCTAGTTACCTGAAGTTTTCCGGATTTTTTTCACGTTTATAACACGTAAATAGGGGTCAGTTATCCATAAAAATATCTCTAGAGAGACATCCCCGAACCTCAACAGATCAATTCTTTCCAACCAATTCTTTCGCTTATCCAGGAGCATCGACAGAGGTGGGAAATTTCGGACCAGTACTTAATTTTCAATAACAGAAAATAAGCATTTTATTAAAATAAAGAAACTTTTACACATTTCATTTGTTCAAAATAAAGGGTCATCTCGATATTGTTCCAAATTTGGTCATCTCGATGCGGTTCCTAAATAAAAATTTATCAATTGAAATGTTGAAATTTGCGACGTTAGGCCTATTAAATCTTTTGACAATTATTAAAGTTCATAACTCTGCAAATTATTAAAAATAACGGTCCCGATTCTCCCACTTATAACTCATACCTCATAAGTCTAAACCATATCTATATTTATATATATTTTATCAATATTACCAAAAAGTTTTGCCATATTGTATGCTTGCTAAGCGTGCAAAAGTCGCACTTATCCACTTGATTCTCTCTCGTACGCTTCAGAGAGTTCCTATGTTCTTTAATCTTTCCTGAATCATCTCGGGAAGTTCTTGTCTGCCAAAGGATTGTGCTCTCTCTTTTTGTGAAGACACATCGTCGAGGAATTATAACAAACTTTTGCACCAACAAAGACTCTAACATCTATGACGACTATTAAGGACCGTGTTCAATTAAACCGCAAGTAAATATTATGAAGCAAAATCGATTGTAACTCTCTCCAATTTCGTAAAATAAGGTGCAAATCGGTATATAATTATCTTCTCCTCGTTTAATCTCTTTTTTTTTGTTTAAATAAATTTTTATCATCATTAATTAATAATTAAATAATGAGTCAGCATTAGATAACACTTTTATCCACTCGCCCACTGATGGGAAAGTATAATAAAAATAAGTATAAAGAAAAATTTTTTTAATTTACCGATAGTAGACAAATAGAAAAGAATTGCGATTTTAATAAAAATACAATAAAAATGTTTATTTTATCGCCTGGATGTCCATCGCCCACTTGACAATGGCTCAGTGTTTATCCTTATCGACTGTTTATTATTCAGGAGGAAGCGAATTTCCAATTTGAATATTCACTACCCAGTACACACAGCAGAAAATTATTCACAGTAAATATTCATTCATCTAGAAAACTTTTTTAATAACAATAAAAAGATAATTTTATTCATATTTCATCTGCAAAATATCTAATTCAAAATACGTTTACTTTTATTTAATTTTTATTTTTCTACATTAAATAATTTAATTATTAAGAATAAAATGATTTTCATTTCCATTAAAATTCATAGGGCCTAAAACGCTCGATATCTTGAAATTATGATGTCATTACAATGAGGTAATTTCTGGAATAGTTAATTAATTAATTAATTGTAATAAAAAGCTTATTAATTAATTTAATTATAATAATTTTAAGCATATTAACCTATAATCTCAATAACTTTCTCTTGTTTTTCTTCTGGAACTTCTTTTCTTTTCATAAATATTCTTACAATGTGATAAACTGCACATATAACACCACATATTACAACTTGTGATATTAAATAGAACCACGGAAGCATAATGAGGTTAGTTTGATGCTGAAAATAAACTTCTTAAGTAACAAATAAATCATTAAAAATTATTATATTAATAATTAACTTACTGTAATATCAAAAGATAGTGAAATAATGCTAATTGCAACAGGTACGTTCTGTATTCCACTTTCAACCGCGATGGTTGTGCTTATTGAATTTGATCTTTTACAAAGAAAACCTATCAGATAACCCGCTATAATACCTGTGGTTGGCATTAGAATTGTAGTAATTATTAATTTTAATGGTATCTGATGAACGACGTGTCTAAAAGATATCAATTCTATTAAGAATGAAGTGATGAAGATTAAGAAACCTATTGCGCTACCCCACTGTAAGAGAAAAATTAAATATTAATTTATCTAATACTAACCCATTTATATTTAAAAAATGCTTTAAAAGTCTTATTCTAAGAAATGCATTAATTACTTTTGTGATGTAAACAGATGCACGTGGAAATTTCCATCTTATGATCATACCCACAAGAGCGGGAGAAGTTATCATCACTAATGACAATGCCATATTGCCAAAAGGTATAACTAAGTGACTCGCTTCTCTAGTTGCATATAACCAGACATTCAAAGGCATCATTCCTAATGCTAAAACAGTCGATATTGTAGTCATGCTGACACTAAAAATTACAGTTTTTACACATTAAAACTATATTTAACAATCGAAATACAAAATAAACATTAAAAATATATAAATTTACCTCAAAGATACATCACCATTTAAGTAATAAGTGAAAATATTTGATAGAATTCCACCAGGAGTACATGATATAATAAGTAATCCGGTTGCTACTTCCGCTTCCAGTTGAAAGATGTGTTTATAGGTATACCCTGATAAAGGCATAACTATAAATTGACAAAATATTCCAATCAATACTGCGAATGGTCTTCGTACATGATTCCAAATCTATATAAATCAGTAAAGAAATTCATATTACAGACTATTGATAAACACAGCTAATAGAATTATTGTGCTTACCTGATCCCAACAAATGTCAGCACCCATTGACATCATTATTATTATGACTGTTGCTACAATCAAAATATCTTTAACTAACTTAGGAATTTCAGGCAAATTATTGTTATCCTTCACATCATTTGTGTAATTAAATGAAGAATTAGTATCAATTGTATGGTTAGATGAAAAATTATTGTAGAAAAAGTTCATTGTAGTATTTTCCATAATAAAATTCATCTTGATATTACACCATATCTTTTAATATTATTTGATTTAAATACTATTAAATCAATACTGTTTGTTTTCTAGTAATATTACAATTATATCTGGAAAGAAAAATATAAGAAATTATTGTAAAACTTACATCAATACAGCAATTTCATGAGTCCAAATATTCTTAGTTTATTCTTTCTTAATATTGTAGCTTTGTAGAATAAATTAAATGGAGTGACTTAAAGAATTAAGAGTCGATTTTAGAGATTTAGAAGATCACAAGCTTATTTAATTAACAGATTAATTTAACTTTAAATTACATTGAAGATTCCTGGTAAGTTATAAATTCTTCAGAGGATTAATTTAATTGTTAACTGCAAGGTAACTATTGAAATCTTTGAAGAATAAATTCGTTTTCACTTAATTAATCTCTTATTATTTAATCAAATTATACGATTTTATAAACAAATCCTTTGTGTTTTTATTTGTAAATATTGTACTCATTATCTAAAGAGATTGCTTCATCTACTGTATAGTACGTGCAGTAACTCAGGGAATGTAGCTGGAAACTCCCGAAATGGGGATTCCCAATTCAATTCTGATATTAAAGATAGAATTTTTCCTTATTTAATTTTAATTCTGATATTTATTTTCAGCATTCAAAGAAATTTTGTAATGTAAAATGATACATTGCAAATAATAAATGAGAAAATAAACGTACACATTTTAATAGTTAATTTTCCTTTAATTTATATTACTTTAAGTCTCAATTTTTATATAAAAAATGTAATTTGGGGCTCCTCTATCGAATAGTCATAAAATTTGAGGCTCCTTCGAAAGTGACAAAAATATACGAATAATATGATTAAAAACAAACAAAAATTAGACTTTTCGTCACTTATCAAAAGAAATTTTTCATACTTATCTACAAAAGTACTAAATTTTGGATCCCTCTGTATCCAAGGCCCTATAAAAATGACCTTCTGACATCTATCTAATGAGGTTAAATGTACCTTAATTTTGTATTTTATATTAATTTATTTTGCTTTCCTATACAATATTAAGAACAATAAGTTATTATCTTTTAATGATGTTATAGAATTTTCCCTACATTGTTGCATCTTCAAACCATATAATTGAAATTAGAGTTGCATGTCCTCAATTTCAAGTACAAGTACTAATCTACCAGTAGAAGTAGTTACATTGATTATTAGCCATTATTTCTTGTTCGTAGATAAGAAAATCTATAATTTTTCTTCTATAACATAAATAAATATTACAATAAATATATTATTCCTATCCTTCGAATATACCAATTAAAAATATACATAAAGGTGTGGCCCAAAAGTCTATTAACCATTGTAAAGACTAAACTTCTGTCTTATTAATAAAGACTAAACTTCTGTCTTACTAAACGATAAATTAATTAGTTAAATCGCTCAAATTATAAATTAAAATAAAATAATAATTTAAAAATTATTAATTAGTACTTGTTTATAGGATAATTTAAATGTCAACAAAGGGTGGAACCTGTAACAGGTATTCATATTACAAGATAAAATCTTAAGGAAATTTTAATTTAATTTATAATTTTATAAAATAATAATTAAATTAAACTTACCTCTGTATTTTAATCAAAAAATAACCTAAAAGTTTCTTTAAACTTTGTAGCACAAAGCTTAGTGCTTTTATAAGTAATCGCACGAAAGGTAATGTTGACGATGACGTAGACATTACGTTAGATGACGTGACTAACTGGAAAAAAATAATTTCCAGTTATTTAAGTCAATTTAAAATTCAAAATAAATAAATAATAGTAATAGTTTATTTTAAATAAATTACTGTAGAGTGATTAAATAAATTATTACATTGTACTCGAGTATACTAAACTATATAATTGATTATACATGTACTGTACTGTATATAATCTATACTTGGAAGAAGACAATTTTGTGTAGAGTTTTACGCTGTGTATAATGTATATATATATAGACTATCTCTGAGGTTAATTATATGTTTATTAATAATTGCTGGGATTGAATCAAATCCTGTCCTTTATAACAAATCAATCAAGTAGACATGCAAAGAAGGGGGTGTGGAAGACCACGTAAGGCCAATGCCAAAGAAAAGGATAAAGAAAAACAATTGTCTGAGTTAAGTACTGAAGATTATCAAATGAAGGAAGGATTTTGTAGAAGCAGTCCAGAAAATCCACGATAATTTCAATACGCTGGGAGATTTAGAGACACAAACACAGAAGGAGTCTCAATATTCATTAAATTCGATATACGAATTGATACAGAATAAATTTTCACAGCTCCAAATAGAACTACTAGGAATTAAAACAGAGGTCAATACACTGAAAGAAGAAAATAAATATTTTCATGGCGAACTGACAAAACTATTTCAAAGAATAGAAGAAATAGAGATGTCCACAAGCTGTGGTTGTATAAAAAGTATGTTAGAATTCGAAATAGATAAACTGGTTAATGAGAGGAACAATAGAAATATTATAGCGATAAGTTTCCCATTCAAGTCGTCAAACTATTTAAAAGAAATCAACCACTTTTTAAAAAAGGATTTAGGAATAATTAAAAATGAAGCAGAAAGTTTGGTTAGATTAACCAATGGTTATATTAAACCTATAGTGAAATTTACACTAGTCTGTATATGATAGAAATTTGATTCTCAAGGAATTCTGGAAAAAAAAAGTCAATTTTAGAAATGAGTGGAGAAATAAAATAATATCTACAACAGACCTATGCAAAAGATCAAGACTAAAGAGGAAAAAATTACTAGAAACAGTCAAACAAGAAAAACTTAAAGGAAATAAAATAACTATAAGATATGACTACTATATAAAGCAGGGGTGTCCAACCTTTTTGTTTCTCTGGGCCACATTAGTAGTAGTCATGGAGTTTTGGGCCACTAGTATATTATATATACTTGTGGCCTAAGTATATTTTGGCCCAATCCTTCAATATACAAGTATATTTAAGGATTAACATAATAATAAGTATTAAAACTTTATTACGAAAAAGGTTATTTTAAAAAATTACTTCTACAGACACTTTCAATTTTTACTTAGAAATAGATAAATTCATTTATTATAAAGGAGACAAACAAAAATTTATTTGAAAAACACAAATATTTGTTTTATTTGGGTCTCTAATTAATAAAAAACGACGAAAAAAACACCATTTTAAAGTGCATTTTTATTCAAATAATATATTTGTTGATCAATAAAAATATAAAACAATGGGATCGGTGAAATTTCTAAAAATAAAAGATTATCTTTAGATAAAATAAACGAGTAAATATAAAACACTCTTTCTTAAACCGATTTCGAGTGATTTATATCGGCAGACAAATAATTAACAAAGATACTATACTTCAGCCAACGTTATTTCTTTTATTATTTTCAAATTTCTCAAAGAATTTTCCAAAAGGTTCTCCAAATGCATTTCGCCGTTACAGCCTCATCGGTGGATTATCTAACAACAAGCAACTCATTACTTTTTATACAAATACATTTTTCCCAGCATGCATCAACATTTAGACCGACATTCTGATTTAACAAATTTGCATGTTCAACAATACAAAAGTGCTCTACTACTCGTCTTTTAA